TGGAGGTGAAACAAATGTTAGTTATAGGGAGAATGCTTCTGCAAGGGCCCCTCTGCTTTCTCACAAAGATGATGATATCTCAAGTTGGGGTTCATCCTATGATTCTGTCTCAAGCGATGAGGCAGATCTTGAAGATTTTCTGGCAGCAGGTTCTGTTGAAGGGACATCAATAAGAGAAGGTGAAAACAGTAACAATACCCGACGTCTTTGTGCGATTTGCTTCGATGCTCCAAGGGACTGCTTCTTCCTTCCTTGTGGGCACTGTGTGGCTTGCTTTGCATGTGGATCTAGGTAACTACTTTGCATCCTCACCTTTTTACATGAAAGGTTGCTTTGGAAATAGTCTATCCTCATTCTTAAACCTGCTCCGAATTTACAACAGCATGCTGGTCATCACCCTTAATGGTTCCCAGAACTTGAAATTTGCCCCTATCTGATGTTGTGCCATAACTGATCTTTTGCAGAATCGCGGAGGCTGCAGGAACTTGCCCCATTTGCCGTCGGAACATGAAGAAAGTGAGGAAGATTTTCACAGTATAAGTCAAATTGAGCTCCTTTGCAAGCAGCAGAGCTTGCACATCCTGCTTCAATGAGTTGCAGTACGTTTTTGATGGGTCACTGCTTTTAATGCTCAAGTAAATGACACTCAGAAGGTGGATTATCAGCATTGATTTTTTTCGTTTTAAAGATGGAAGGAGCCATGCATTTTGTTTCCATGGATGGCCTTCCACCATGTAATACTATCATCGGTACATAATTCTCCAGTACACCAAGTCAAAGCTTCGAATGTAACTCTTTTCATTTTTCCCCCACCCCATTGATTACCAATTTAAGGCGCAGCAACTTTAAACTGAGACACTGTACCTTCCTGTCCTTCATTCTGAACAGCATCAAGTAAACGACTAATCACATTTTTAATGCCTTTAGAGTATTTTATAATATATTTTTTATATTATTTCTGCATATTTAATTCAATAATAATATATATTTTTTACTAAAAAAATTAGATTCGAATCCTTTATTAAAACAAAGGGTTCAAATGCCTTTTTTTAAATAAAACAAATTCAAATTTGATCAAAACTTAATCAATTTGTTTTATATTACAGTTTTGAAAAATAATAATAAATCTCATAATAACTATGTTTTAGAATAAAATTAAATATTTAACTGTTTACAATATCTTTTGTCTATGAGATGGATTTTGTTTATATAATAAATTAATGATGAAATGACAAGAGGGAGAAGGCAGATTTGCTTCGTTTTCTTCTTTCCACGACGAAATGGACTGGCGGAAAGCGAGTCAAAACCATAGTTGACGAAAGTTGGAGAAGCCAAGTAGGAGAAGCTTTCCTTTTCCCTTTCCTTTTTCATTTCCCCCCCCCCCCCCACTTTCTCGACGTGGGGATCAAGAAACCTATGGCCAATAAGATTGGAAACGAGCGGCGGCCCTTACTGCCTTCCTCCCACCCACTTAATTTCCCTTTCCTGTTTTTGGTCCACTGCTTCTTTAGACCATGGTCATTCTCATGACAGTGAAATCAAAGTCATAATTTTGTTGCTAATAAAATATAAACTAAGGTTGTTAGTCAACAGATTAATTGAGGATAAACTAAACAAAATTGAACTAAGTTTGACTACTTTATTTAAAGTATTACACAAATACAATCAAGTTGGAAGTAGTTTATAATTAATTTATTTGTATTATTAGTTAAATTGAATTAAGTAAAATTATGATATTTTATAATTTGATTCGAATAAGTCTTAAATTGAAAAAATTAAGTTTGGATAATGATCATAAAATATTTGTTTTTTTGAATTTGATTATATATATTGTTTTTAATAATTAAATTAAATTTGATATATTATAAAAATTATTTTTAATTTCTTTTCATTTTAAATTTGAATTTTTATGAATATTGGTAATTAAATTTGAATATTAAGTATATTAGTTGAATTCGGGTAAACTATATAATTAAATTTTAATGGATTGGGTGATATTCTTAAGTCATTCTTAAACAAAAGAAAAGAATTAAGAGCAAGTAAAGAACAATTAATTATTTGCTATTATCAGCTTAAAATAATCAAATGCGGAGACACACTGCTGTGCAACTACTTTCAACGATTGGACGGAGACCCGCCTTCCCACGTCAGCACACTTACCCCTAACCGCGGTTTTCGCATAGCGAAATTGCGTGGCCTCCAGCCCTATTATACACGATATCTGAATCTCCTTTTAAGATTGCTTGAAACCACTTTCTCCACCGTCGGATGGAAATATCATATACGATGATGAGCATCGTAGGGCAGATCAGGAAGAGTGTAGTAAACTAAGCCACAGGGTAAGTCTCCTCACCTCCAAGCAAGAACCATTCAAAACACCCCCTCTACTTAAACCTATCTCTCGCCACCTTCTCTGCTTCGCCTCTTCTCTCCCAATTCCTTCAATTATCTTCTATTTGGGTTTTGTGTTGTGAGTTTGATTTTTCCAATTCCAAGGGAAAAAACCTCGTCACTCTTTCTGTGACTGTAGCTTTTTGGGTATGGCAGGGACCGGAGTGGTTGCTGTTTATGGAAACGGGGCGATAACCGAAACCCACAAGTCTCCTTTCTCAGTGAAAGTTGGGTTGGCGCAAATGCTCCGAGGCGGGGTCATCATGGACGTGGTCACCCCGGAACAAGCCCGCATCGCTGAAGAAGCGGGAGCCTGTGCCGTCATGGCTCTCGAGCGAGTCCCCGCCGATATCCGAGCTCAAGGCGGTGTGGCCCGAATGAGTGATCCACAACTCATCAAGGAAATCAAGCAAGCGGTTACTATCCCCGTCATGGCTAAGGCCCGTATTGGTCATTTCGTTGAGGCCCAGATCCTTGAAGCCATCGGAATCGATTATGTTGACGAGAGCGAAGTGCTGACCCCGGCCGATGAAGAAAACCACATTAACAAACATAATTTTCGGATTCCTTTCGTTTGCGGGTGTCGGAATTTGGGGGAAGCGCTTCGGAGGATCCGGGAAGGAGCTGCTATGATTCGAACCAAAGGAGAAGCTGGGACTGGGAACATTATCGAAGCCGTTAGGCACGTGAGGTCCGTGATGGGAGACATTAGGGTGCTTAGAAACATGGATGATGATGAGGTTTTCAGCTTCGCTAAGAAAATTCAGTCCCCATACGATTTGGTCATGCAGACGAAGCAACTGGGGAGGTTGCCTGTGGTACACTTTGCTGCCGGAGGAGTGGCGACGCCGGCTGATGCGGCGTTGATGATGCAGTTGGGCTGCGATGGAGTGTTTGTGGGGTCTGGGGTTTTTAAGAGTGGTGACCCGGCGAGACGGGCCCGGGCGATTGTCCAGGCCGTCACTCATTATAGTGACCCGGACGTGCTTGCTGAAGTTAGCTGTGGGCTTGGTGAGGCTATGGTTGGTCTTAATTTAAATGATAAGAAGGTTGAGAGGTTCGCGGCTCGGTCTGAATAGTGTGTTTGAAGCTTTTCGGGCTACGTGGAGGTGAGAAATTCCACTGTTATTATATTTAATTTTTGTCTTTTTTAAACTTTTAAGCTTAAAAATTTGATGGTATCTAATGTATTTCATTTTTAAGTTGAATAATTTTTGTCTAGTAGTGAACTTTCTAGTGTTCTTTTATTGGTTTTCGTATGTCAAATTTCTGAATTGGGAAATGGATTTGGATATTAGTCGTGAATGGGTAGTGACTGCTTTGTTTCTCTTTGGTGACATAAATGGTGATTCTTTATGTAAATTGTAAGGCTGCCTGCTAATGAGTTTTTGAGAGATACTTGGCTTTCCTGTTCTTTTGGTATCGTTTAAGCATTCATAGCTTTGGACTGCACCATTTTGATTGTAATAAGTTGTTGATGCATTTCATTGAACTTCTACTGTGATGTTTTGTTGTCCTATTCTTTTGTTTCAATTTTGAAGTAGTTGGGACGTAGTGATTGATAGCAAAAGGTGACTTGATGTTACTGGATTTTGACATAAATGACACTACTATAACATGCTTCCAAAGTGATGCTAGTAGTTAGTTGAGCTTCTGAATGTGAAGTCATTTATTCTTTCCTCCCAATTTGTCCTCTTGATGCTGGTATATTGGATTTTTGTTGTTAGTTTTTGGCTTTCTGCCGAATGCTTCATACATTACTCGCTTTTGATATTTGAGCAATGTTTTGAAGCATTGAACTCATTGTGGAGAGATTTTGATTGCCTTTGCAGGAATCCTTTTACCATGGGACTGGTACCATCGCCTGCATTATGTGTGCTTTTTCCAGATTATGCAAGTCAAAGTGTAGTTTTTCATACAGTGGGGTGTACTTTTTATGTCTAAACGGATGTTTTCGATAAACTCTGCTGTTTTGTTATCTCTTTTAAGATTGCTAGGAATTATAACAACTTGTCTCTGCATTCTGCAAGTATACTCGTAATTTTCTGTTATTTAGGCTCTACAGAAACTTTACTTGCATTTTCAGATGGTATTGGTCCGTGGTTTAAGTGGCTTTGCTAGTTTTCAAATTTTCTTTTTGTTCCATCTTGATGCACGTATGCTATTCTACCCGCTGAATAAATTTTCCTTTACTTGGTCTAGCCTGTAGTTATTTTTGTTGTGGGTAGCCCATTGGTTTTTCCTCCTAGGTGAATCTCCCTGATGAAAAGCATACAAGACTAGTGTGTAGGCACTTCATGTAAGACTAGTGTATAGACCCTTCATATACTGTTTTAATCGAGATGAGTTAGCCTCATTTTCAAACCCGAAAACCAAATCTGATCTGAAATTAGTTTGAACCTGAAATGACTTTGAACTCGTAATGTTCTGAATTTATAATTCAAAACTATCCAATCTGCTTCTTCTAATAGAAATGAGATTCCCATTTTAATAAGCCATTTCTCTTAAGACAACATGTGAACATGTTGTAATTGGGGATGACAGACGGAAAGGTGGGTGGGGTTATGTACTGCTGGTTTTAAACCAGATTTCCCCATTAAAACATGTTGCCAAGAAGAGGCATATGGATTCAATAAAAAGATCTCAGAGCTCTGAAGCTAACTTTGAGCGAATTACAACCAACAGAAACTTGCTGACTAGCAAGACTTGAAACCACTTCACAATTAGTAAAAACTTGAGCTCCTCAAATTACTCTTTGCCCACCGCTTGCAAGAGAAGGAGCAACTGAAAAAAGTAGTACGAAGCACCCCCAATCGTAGCATACTGCAACTTTTCAGGCCCTTCCACTTCTGGGAAATCACCATCTGCAGCACGATTGAATCCTCCGGCCAACCACCCCAAGTTCTTGTATCCTCCCTCGTATAACTTTGAAGTTGCCATCATGGACCTAATTAAGAACATCAAAACAAATTAGTCATAAGATGAACAGCCGCACCATAATCGGATGGCTGGCATGAAATTCTTACCTAAGCCCTTCGCCACAAGCTACAAGCAGCTTAGCATCCTTGTCAGGAACAGCAGCTTCTACCTCCCGGATGAAATTAGGATTAATCATGGTAAAGTTTTGGCCAGTCCACAGGCCAATGTAGCCAAAATGAACCCACTTCTTCAAAAGAGTAATGGGACTATTGTCCATGTCCTTGACGAAGAGGGGCACGTGAACTGACCCTTTGACGTACGCTTTTTCTCGCTCCCACTCCGGTCTGATGTCAAGTAACCTGAACCCCTCGGAATTCATGGCCGTAGCTGCGTCCTTCGGCGGTATAGGCTTCACCTCCCCCGACTGTATTAGCTGCAGGGCGTTGCTTGACGCTGCAGCCACCCTAAACGTTCGGGTTTTTGAGGAAGTGAAGAAAGGTGGCTGCGGTTGCTTCTCTTGCTTCAGCGTCGATGCCCGGAAGTGGTTCAGTTGAATCGCCATCTTTTTTTCTCTTATCCTGAAAATAGTTTGTCTTTCTTCGCTTCTAAAGCTTTGTTGGAGCATGGAGGAGCCCACGACGGTTTTTTGTCAATGGTTTTTTTTTCAACATTCGCCCCCTGAGTTTTGTGTTATTCTGAAATTGACCCATCAAAATTTTTTTTTCTGAGGCAATCCACCAAAGTTATTTGAGGCTCAATTTTATGTCAGCAATGATATACATGTCCCTTCATGATAAACGCATTAATTTATTATAATAGAATAAATTGTTTGAATTGAAATACACATTATTTGGCATAAATTCTGTAAAAGTCTTTCTATTATACTTATTTATTTAATTAGATCCTTAATATTTTATTAAATTCAATTAATTCATTTATTTTTTATTTTAAATTAAATAAATTTTTTAATTTAATGGAAATGTATTCACAATTAGATTTAATACCAATTGTTTTCTTAATCACATGACATATGATTTAATTATTTGTAATTACGTCCTAGAAATTAGAATTAAGAAAATGATTTATTGATGTAACTTATTTTTGTTTCATTTTAATTTGTGATAAAAATATATAATTCTAAATTTCACATAAACTTCAAATTACACACAAATTTTATTTTAAGACTATCTTTTTTTCTATGTTTTTCTTAATTCTATAAAATTTGTTTTCCCACTAGCTTAACACAATTAAGATGTAAAAAAAAGAAAATTGTAAATATTTATATAATAATAATGATGATGTATCAAATATAAACATATTAAAAAAACAGTGCAAAAAAGAAAAATTACAAGGTCTAGTCATACGTAAATTACAAGAAGGTATTAAAAATAAAAAAAAATGGAACCCTAGTGATAACATTTCCCCTTCCCCTGCTTTCCTTTTCATTTTCTCCCCCCAAAACCTACCCGATCGCTTCTTCCAATTGAAATCAACAACTAAAACAAATAAACAAAAGATCGCCTTCATGAAATAAAACGTTGAATTTTTACGTTTTTTTTTTTTTTGCAAGTTTTCTTTGCAATGGTGGGGATCATGAATCCAGTTTCGAGAGAAAAGCTCGCGAGTTTGTTCAACTCAGTGAAGCTAGCTATAGACTTAGCTTCGAAGCTGGATCTTTGTCATCAATTGAAGCAAACTTTGTTGGAGGAAGACGCCGCTACTCTCTCCGAGTTCCTTCCTCGCCTCTTCGACCTTTACTCTGACCCGTCCGGTCCGGTTCGCAAGCTCGCTACCGAGTAGGCTCCTCTGAAATCCCTAGCTCAATCCGCATTATCTTAGCTGTTTTAGTACTTATAAATTGAAGTGTATTTCCTTCTTTTTTAAAAAATTAAATGTAGGATTATTGGTGAAATTGGAGTGAAAAACCTCGATTTTGTACCTGAAGTTGCACCGTTTCTGATAACTGTTTTGGAAGATGCTACACCTGCTGTTGCTCGACAATCTATTGCTTGCAGCATTGATTTGTTTCGTCTTATGCTCGAAAAAATTGCAATTCAGGTATGTTTACTCTCTAACTCATAATTTGAATTGGCTTAGTTCATATCTTAATTTGCCTTTATAGAATATTAAGCTGTGAATACTAGCTTTTCAGGGATAGAATTTTTTTTATTAGCGAAAACTATTATAGTTATGTCTTTTCTTGCTGTTACATTGTTTTAATTTTAGTTCATCGAGTTTCCATGAGGTGATAATTTGGTATCATTTGAAGCTCTGTATTGACCTGTCATTGGCCAGTAGGCTATTCGAAGCCTGCTAACTTTTTGATGTACCCTTTACAAGTTCACATCCTCATTACCTTTGTTTCAGGGTCTATACTCTAGTGAATTGGACAGTGATCTGGAAGCATCATGGTCATGGGTGTTAAAGCTAAAGGAGAAGATATACTCTATAGCTTTTCAGGTAGGAATTGATTTTTTAAGTTTCATGAAAACTGAAATTTGTTCATTGCCTGATTAATTGTAAAATTTGATCAGCCGGGAAGTGGTGGGATAAGATTGGTGGCACTGAAGTTTGTTGAAGCAGTTATTCTGCTTTATACTCCAGATCCTAATGGCTCTCCAGAGCCCCCTCCTGATGAAGGTAATTAATTTTTTCTCTTCAGTGTTGGCAGGCTTGAAGATTGTCATTTATATGTTATAATACTAGCACTAAGTGTTTTTTATATCTTCTATTCAATTGATTTTGTAGGAACTCCTGTAGAATTTAATGCAACTTGGCTTTGTGGGGGCCATCCTTTACTCAATGTTGGTGATTTGTCGATTGAAGCTAGCCAACGGTTGGGTTTGTTGCTTGATCAGCTTAGATTTCCAATAGTAAAATCTCTCATCAACTCGGTGATTGTTGTGCTTATTAAAAGGTATGCTGTCCACTCTCTTCTTTGTCAACTGCAACTTATTTCCTGGCATTTAGTACATCAGGATATATGGAATCTCTATCTCTAATCCTGGCGTGAATAAGTAGGAAATGCATATCTATGTAGAATTGTTATAATTTCTGATACTTGTATAACGAAGAGAATTGAAAATTTTATATATAAAAAATTTTCATCACATGTCTTGTGTGGGAAAAGTATTATGGTGTACTTTTATCCGTTAATATAAATCTTTAAAAGTGCACTTTTGTTACTGTACCTAACTCAAGATGTCAACCTCACTTCAAATTGCGTTTCACACTTTTGGTTATATTGCTGTGTTTAATTTCTAGTTTTTCAATTTGTTTTCATTTTGTCTTGTCTTTGATGTCAGTCTCTCAGCTATTGCAAAGAAACGGCCTGCATATTATGGACGTATTCTATCAGTTTTGCTTGGTTTGGATTCCCCAAGTGTTGTTATCAAAGGGGTTCATGTCTATGGAGCACATCATGCTTTGAAAAATGCCTTACTCTCCTGCTTGAAATGTACACACCCAAGTGCTGTGCCGGTATTTATTTTATACTAAACATGCTCTTTTAGACTATTATCCATTAGTAAGGTTGCATCTCCGTTTTATACTTTGGTGTTTCTTTTACATTTACTTAATCAATGATGATGTATATTATACTTGCTTTTCATGTACCTTAAACATATGGGATCATGCGAGTTGAATAGGTAGTTGATTTTATTTCGGAAATGGTGAATGGGTCCATTAAACTGTTTGACGTGTGCCTTTTTTCTGTTCTAATCAATTATTTGAAAGATGTCTAATGAGTTTAGCATACTGAGTGTGTTTCTTAATAAGGTACCCATTACTTATTCTGTACTTGTTTACTTAGCATTATCTACCGTGAATAAGCGCTCTTTTTACTTAGCATCCACTGCACACAAAAGTTGAGTGCCCTACCCACTTTTGATATATACTTTGTTTTTGGTTTATACAGTGGAGGGATCGTGTACTTAGTGCCTTGAGAGAGATGAAAGCTGGAGGACCAGCAGAGCTAGCTCTAAACCAAGTTCATAAAACTAGTGGAAGTGTGGAAGAGGGAAAAGATGATTCTTCGGTTATTAAGGTATAGACACTGTTGTTGCCTGTGTTCTATGATTTTTGGCATTGGTATGTGCTGCCTTGTGCAATCCTATGTTAGCACATGGACGTATATGCATATGTATGGGGCTTCTAATAATAGGTTTCAGAACTTACAGGAAGAAAAACCCTTGGCTGGAGCACGTGATGCTGCTGGTAGCAATATGGGGAGGAAAAGATCTGTAACTGAGGACTGTAGTGATTTGGCTGAAAATGATGATGTGTCTGGCAAACGTGTCAGGTCAACACCTAGTGACTCAGAAGAGTCAACAAAAGAGTTAAAGAGGAATCCTACTATGTCTCAGGGTGACATTTGTTCAAATCAACCGACTATTAATAAAGGAGATGTTGATACTGGACCGGTCCAGCAACTTGTTGCTATGTTTGGTGCCTTGGTTGCTCAAGGAGAAAAAGCTGTGGGATCGTTGGGGATTCTTATTTCAAGCATATCTGCTGACTTGCTGGCTGAGGTAGTGATGGCTAACATGCGTAACCTTCCTCCCAATCATCCTCACACTGATGGGGATGATGAATTGCTGGAGAACATGAGCATAGTTGGAAGTGACACTCAAGCCAAGTATCCGCCATCATTCTTAGCTGACGTTGTTTCACTGTCGAGTACTTTCCCACCAATAGCCTCACTGCTAAACTCCGAGCTGTCTGTTTCCAATAAAATAGTGGTATGATTTTTTCCATCAGGAGATGTTATTCACATGAGGAAGACCACAATTAATGCATACAACTCATGTCTATTAAATAGCAATTAGGTTTTTAGTGGATGCCTAATTTTTTTTAATGGATTTGGAGGGCTTAAATTTGTTTTTGACCATACCAAAGATGGGCCCATAAACAAATGCATAAATTTGTTATAGCGTCAGTTGTCTTGACATCAACACCTTTCTTGTCTTTAATTTTGCCTGTATCATTTGTGCATTCCTGTTTGTTCTTGGTCCAACTTCTTTATGGTTTATACTTTTCAATGCTTTTGTGATCTGTGGTGTTTATTTGCTTTGTTAACATGTGAATTTTGTTGAAGATACAGAAAACAGAAGGGGAGGAAGAAGTTGATGTTGTGGCTGGCCCTAATAATGCTGTTGCATATGCTGGCATGGCTCACGAAGCCGAAAATGCTGTTTTGGCTGCTGATTTACCAGTTTCTTCGGACATTGTTTTGCCAGGAATGGAGAAGATTGATCTACCTCCTCCATCTGATATCGATGATGTGGGGAATCTTGAAAGTGAGATACCTGGCTTGGATTCTTCTGTTCGTATTGATGGATTGTCAGACACCCAAGCTGCTTCTTCATTGGTCTCTACTGATCTAGAAGATGCTAGTCAAGAGCAAGTTTCAAGTTTTGGTGGAAGGTCACCACTGCATATGCTTCCATCAATTTCAACAGATAGGTCTGAGGAGCTTAGTCCAAAAGCAACTGTTATGGATTCCAACAGCCTGATTTCCTCAACAGCATCTTCTGTTGTTTCATCCTATGTTGCCTTGCCCAAGATGTCAGCACCTGTTGTCAATCTTTCTGATGATCAGAAGGATGATTTGCAAAAGTTGGCTTTTATACGTATCATTGAGGCATATAAGCAAATAGCTCTATCTGGAAGTTTGCAAGTTCGCTTTTCTCTGCTTGCTTATCTAGGAGTCAAGGTTGTAGTTCTGACTTCTCAATGATGTTTATATCTTTCTACTGATAGCATCTAGTTGGGATATATTTGTTGTTAGAATGTCCTGCTAGTTTTGACATTCTGTATTAAATATGTTTATGCCTTTCTTTTATCAGTTGCCGTCGGAGTTAGACCTACAGAAACTGCTACGAGAACACATTTTGTCAGATTATATAAATCACGAGGTAACTGGATATGCCAACCTCTATTCATGTTTGGATGTGCCTCAAATTGTTGACTTGACATGAACTACTTTAATTACGACTTCGTAGCTGAAACATGATGGAAGGAAATCAAGTCCTATTGACTTCATCTCTCTCTCTTTTCAGTCTATCTTTCTATGTATCACATGTATGATATAGCGTTTTGCAACATATGGTCTAATACACTGTTGGAGCAACCACTTTCTGACAGCTGAGACCATCATTATCTTTTAGTATCACCTCAACCTTTCAAATCTGCTCATATTTTTACCTGTTTGTGTTGTCAACTGATTTTTCAAAGGAATACTTTATTGTTCATTAAATTCATCTAAAATCCATGCTAGCTGACGATAGTTATTGGATGGCTCAGGGACACGAGTTGACATTGCGTGTCCTCTACAGGTTATTTGGCGAGGCGGAAGAGGAAAGCGATTTCTTCTCATGTACAACTGCTGCTTCTGCATATGAAACATTCCTTCTGGCTGTTGTATGTATTAGTTTTACTTAGCCTATCTGATTCTTCCTCTGAGAAGGCCATCTTTCTGAGGAAATTTCTGTAAATGCAGGCTGAAACTCTTAGGGACTCTTTTCCACCTTCAGACAAATCTTTGAGTAAACTACTTGGTGAAGCTCCTCGCCTGCCAAAGTCAGTTTTGAATTTATTAGAGTGTTTGTGTTCTCCTGGAATCGCAGAGAAAGCTGAGAAGGAGTCACAAAGCGGAGATAGAGTTACTCAAGGCCTCAGCACTGTATGGAGCCTAATTCTACTGAGACCTCCCATTCGAGATGTGTGCTTGAAAATTGCTTTGAAGGTTTGTGATTTTTCTTGGATAATGCAGCTTAATTGAAGTTTTCATTTCCTTATCTTCTGTTTGACTTTTATTTTCTCTTTACCTCTTAAAGAGTGCAGTTCATCACTTGGAGGAAGTCCGAATGAAAGCAATACGTCTGGTAATTGTTCACAACTTGCCATTTAAGTAATTAGTAGCTGCTTTCTGTGATCGATTTTATGATTGAGGATATCTTTCATTTTGTAGGTAGCAAATAAGCTGTATCCTTTATCATCCATTGCTCAACAAATAGAAGATTTTGCGAGGGAAATGCTGCTCTCTGTAGTAAATGGCAATGGTGTAGAAAGAACAGATGCTGAAGGATCAATTACTGAACCACACAAGGTAACCATATCAGACCTTTGTGATTTAAAATGCTTTTGTCTCCAACTTGATTATGTACGGTTTGTTTTGTATAATTCAGAAAATTTTTTATATCTGGTTGAAATTGGAATACTGTAATATGGTTTTTGAACACTATCTGGTTGTGAGAACATTGAAGGAGTATATGTTCACATAAATATACGTATGTATTATGTATGTGTGTGTTTTCCTATATATGGAGTTAATTACATGAAACTATTACCAGGTGCAAAAAAATGTCAGGAGCTACTAGTTGTCTTAGAATTTCCTCTGTTGTATATGCATTTTCCTTTTTTTACTTTTCCCGTCTTTTTTGCTGGGCCTGGGGGGTTGGGCGTGGGGAAGGGAAAGGAAGGGAGAGGTAAATTGTCTTTGCTGTCCAGTGCATGATTAAATTTTAGCTATTTTCTTTGCTGGTTAGTAGTCTAGCTTGGACATTATCTATCATTGGACATGTCACCATGCCAGTGATCCTCAAAAGTATCCTCTGGCTAAATCAGAAATGCATGTACTCCGTCTTTTAAGAATTGGAATGTAACATTCAGGTCATGCTCTTGTAACAACTTTGAGTTTTCATTAGGCAATGATATGTATTGACCATTTTCTTTTCTTAAAGAAAAAAAGGATTTATGTCAACCCAGGAATATAAATTATTTTATTTCCTCAGCTTCCTTGGTTAAGAAAAATGCTTAAATACTTGACAGGCTGGCAGAGTAGTGATTCAAAATTAACTAGAAACTGTGTCATTTAAGTAAAGCTTTTTAGTTACCTCTTGAGAGTTATGTAATGACTTCAGTTGTATGTCTTGTTGATTTTCTTAGTTGAGTTCTATTTGCAACTTTAAACAGGATTCTGATTCGGAAAAGCCATCAAATGAGCATCAGTCAATGAGTTCCATTGGTGAAGACATCTCTGCTGATGTTCATCAGTCAGAAACATCTCAGAGTGTGTCATCCCTTTCTGTCCCTGAGGCTCAACAGAGCTTGTCACTTTATTTTGCTCTGTGTACAAAGGTGTTACCCCATCTTTTTTATTTTGAGAGCTTGATTCTTGAGATTACTATTTTTGAGTGCCTGTTTCTTCGTAATCCTCTCAAGGAATTTATATTTTGCTGTTATTATTCTACAGAAGCACTCTCTCTTTCGCCAAATATTTGTTATCTACAAGAGTGCATCAAAGGCAGTTAAGCAGGTTTGGTTAATGCATTTTGGAATCTTATTTTAGGAATTTATTAAAATCCTTGGTATTATATATTTGTTTCTCTTCTTATTAATTGGGCAATGCAGGCAATCCATCATCATATTCCCATACTAGTTCGTACCATGGGCTCGTCATCTGACCTTCTTGAAATTATTTCAGATCCTCCTAGTGGAAGTGAGAGTCTTCTAATGCAGGTTGTGAAAGTTAAATAAACTGTATAGTTTTCTGAGAACCAATCAGAAGTTCAAAAGTTCTCTAACTGTTTGCCCTTTTTTTTATCCACCTTCCCTCCCATCATGCCAGGTTTTGCATACACTGACAGATGGGACAGTTCCTTCTGCAGAATTAATATTCACCATTAAGAAGTTATTTGATTCAAAACTAAAGGTACGAGTAAATTGTCTTTTCTTAAGAACCTGAATGCAGTGAGGATATTGGCTAATGTGCGGTTGATTTGGATTGGTGACAGGATGTTGAAATTCTAATTCCAGTATTGCCATTCCTACCGAGAGATGAGGTTTTTCTTCGTTCTCTGATAATTTCCTTTCTCATTGTCTATGAGCATGGTTGCATTGCAGAAGAATGTTGTATTGTTCAACTGTCTTGTGTATATGGATTATATCTGTGAGGAATGTGATTCTTGTCTGGACAAGACAACGTATTGCAATATAAGTTTCAAGTCCATACTGAAAGGAGATCCTTGGTCCATTCATTTCTTATTTTGTGGGTCAATTAATTATAGTTTGATTTAGAAATGAAAAATAAAAAATGAAAAGTATGTGGGTATTCAAGAAAAAAGGGATTTATAATGCTGACAGGACAATTCTTTTTTACTAGAATGTAAGACTAAGCCATATTAAATAAAGATGAAAGTTTGGGCTCAGGGATGTCCTCACTACAAAAGATTCATGTCAAGAAGATACATCACAGCTTATTGCTTTAATATCATAAACGAGTCTTAACCTTTGCTAGATTCCCTGTTCGTTACCCTCCTTTCATTAATTGAGAATCAATACAAAAATGTGATATTAGAGTTTAAAACAAATGTTATTTATGAGAAAGTGCATGGTAGTATAATATTGTCAGTATGGCAACTAGAAGTTGTTAGTGGCATTAGCAGCAGTGGTTCCATTGTCTGTTCCATATATTTGATTAAAAGATTTGGATAATACTGTTGTATATGTTCACTTTTGGTGAAGACAATTGTTTAAGGAAGAAAGCAAATTCTTGTTTGTGCTCTTTCTTCATGCTGTTGAGAATGTTATTCTCAACAAATTTATTCTGTTCACTTTCTGCTTGATTATGCCTAGTTTAAATTTTTAATAAATAGCTTCCCCAACTTTCTCTTGTTTAAGAGGTGCTCTTTGAATGCATTGTATTGGTTTTCATTGGTGTTGCCTTACCTTTCTTTGCTGCATATGTTTTAATAGTTTGTGTTTTTAGGTTTTGCTGCTCTTTCCACATCTTGTAAATCTTCCGCTGGATAAGTTCCAAGCTGCACTTACCCGGTTGCTACAGGTATCTTTTTTACCCCATGGCCTCTTACCCAAAAGTTAAATTCCTCTATTGCAGCATTGTTTCTTCTAGCTGTCATCTCTAGGGATCTTAATGTATGTTTGCTTGCATTCTACAGCTGCATCTCTTTTTCATTTTGTAGCTTTGTAAATTCACTTGTAAGGAAATATTTCACTAGGAATATTTTCAGTAGCATATGTAATAATATCATGCCATATTGGCATTGTTGGTGTTATATTTTGATCAGGGAAACACAACCTGCTTGTATTTCAGCTGCATGTTCTGTTTCATTGCTAATTGGACTCTTTGTACCTAGGGATCTTCTCATTCTGCTCCAGCGCTCTCTCCAGCTGAAGTGTTGATCGCTATCCATGGTATTGGATCCTGAAGAGATGGAATTCCTTAAAGAAGGTGTGTTTCCTCCTCAATCTAGACTCCACACACCCCCCCCCCCCCCCCTCCCCTTTTTTTTTAACTTCTAATGTTTAGAAATTCACATCTGAGTAGACATTTTTAAGCTGCAATCAGGTCACAGATGCATGTAATGCTTGTTTTGAGCAACGGCAGATATTCACCCAGCAAGTTCTTGCGAAGGTCTTAAATCAATTGGTATGTACTATACCACTTCTTTATGTTTTTATCACCAAGATTTACTAGTCTCTGGCTGAATTCACAGTTGATGATTGTTGCTTCCTATAGGTTGAGCAAATTCCTCTTCCTTTGTTGTTTATGCGTACAGTATTGCAAGCCATTGGTGCTTTTCCTGCACTGGTAAGGAAACACTATTTATCTTTGCTTACTTGAAGGGTACTATAGATAATTGTAGTTATTTATTGCTGAAATTAAAAAGCTCTTTAGGTAATTTATATCGTCTGCTAGGTAGTATAACAATGGTCAAAATGGTTTAATGTCCAATAATTATAGATTTATAGTTCAATTTTTTTTAAAAAAAGGATACTCCACTGTCTTCTCTCTCATATCATCTGACAAAGAGGGTAAAACCTGTTTAAAGACTTTAACATGATTAGAAAAGATATCCATGACTCATTGATGACTCGATCACTCAAAATGTTGTAGGTGGACTTTATAATGGAGATTCTTTCTCGTCTTGTAAGCAAGCAGGTGACTACTTTTATCACAACAAGCTGAACCTTCTTTTCTTTAGGGTTCATGTTTATATGTCTTTAAATTAATTGCTTATTGCAGATATGGAAGTATCCAAAGTTGTGGGTAGGATTTTTGAAATGTGCATTCTTGACAAAGCCTCAATCTTTCAGCGTGTTGCTTCAGGTGCATGTTTCTTTTATTAAATATTTTAAAATGCATGTTTGATCTCCGAATGTGAAGTTTGCATTTTAGAAGCAAAGCCTGTTCTTTCTGTTTGTAATTGCATGATTCTTGTCTTTCAGCTACCTCCACCGCAGCTGGAAAATGCACTGAATAGAACTGCAGCACTCAAAGCTCCTTTGGTTGCTCATGCTAGCCAACAGAATATCCGAACTTCGCTTCCAAGGTTCATATGAAGAATGATTTTTTTCTCTAATTGGATTTAAAAGTCTTCAATATCTACACTCTATTAATAGCTCCTTGTCTATTTCTGATCACCATCTCCCACTCCTCTTTCTTTTATACTTTTGGCATTTGCCATTTCCAGGTCTATACTGGCAGTTTTGGGACTTTCTCCAGATTCTCAGAACTCTAGTCAGGCACAAACTAGTCAGGCTCACACTGGAGATACTAGTAACTCAGACAAGGATGCAGTGGCAGCAGAGAAATCTAAAGAATCATCTAGTGCTAGCTGAAGATCTGAAAACTCAATTTTGCAAAAGCATAAGGTGACATTGCTCTATAGCTGCCTGCCATGCGTTGGATTCACAAGCTCCCAAATCTGGACTTCCATCCAATAATGTATGCAAGAGGAATGGGAGTGTGCAAGGCGTAGAAGGCAGACAATATTCTGTATCATAGCCTTTGATATTTGACACATTCATATAAATGCCACTGGTTGAGAAGTGCTGGCTGCCTATGCTGAAAGAATTGATTCCGCAAGAATTTCAGACTTTTAGTGAACATGTACAACAGGTTTGATTGCAATTTTGATCAGTTGAAGTAATGCACATAAGGATTTGTAACATTGCAAGGAGCTACATCTCAATGTATATACTTTGGTTCTCTCCAATTTTATTAGCATTTCTCATATCATCCTTTGTGGAATTAGCATTCTCTCTCTCTCTCTCTCTCTCTCTCAACACTTATTAATTTAAAGTTGTACTTGTAATCCATTAACCATGACTGACCTCAAGCTGGTTTATAGCCTCTGATTAAGTGGAAAGTAAGCAGGGATATGCTACCCTATGCCTTCCACCCTGGTCGTGAAAGCTTACTCATCTTTTCCTGGTGAGCGGATCAGTGAGACAATTGGCAGCCATCAGTGCAAAAGCCAATGTGGTTTGCTAACCCCAGCCAACATTCTCCTTCTCCAGGATTGAAAGGGGAGTGGAATCCGCTCTGAGCGGAACCCAGATGATAATCATTGTCAAGTAAGAAACTCTCTTTTGGTATTGCATCGATAGTTTAACTGATTGTTAATTAAAAAACAGGATCTTGCATAACATTTCAGAATCCAATGACAGCATGTGTTCATAGAATCTTACGCAGGAATCAGATTGGCCTCAATTCTAGGAAAACTACACCATCAAAACTATAGTATTTTTATCATCAGAAGTGACAAATTCAACGGTCATGAGTGAGTATGACAGCCTACCTGATTATTATGTGGCTGTCTGGTGTGTCTACTAGATAATGGAAAACATGGTATTTCCTTTTGGTCCAAGCAAAGAAACTGTTGTAAGTGTTGAGAGATTGTAATAAAAAAGAAACCAACAAAGGTAGGTAGATAGATCCTTCACATGTTCCTAGCATTTCCTGTCGTTTCGCATGGTGTCACATAACCAAAAACTTTGCAAGATTTAGCTTTGAACCGTATCCCAACATGTCCAAAGCCAATCCCAGCCCACTGTTAGTTATCGAAAGACGTACTTTTTAATCTGCAAAGCAATGTTTCTGAAAATTTTGTACATTTCAGTATTTAGTTTTTGAAAAAAATTAAGAAATTTATTTGAAATGAATTTTTTTTGTATTAAAAAGTATTGACTATTCATATCATAAAAAAAACTTTCAAATTTTAATGTAAAATATATCAAAATAAAAATTATTTGTCTTAATTTTTCGGCCGATAACCTCGAAAATTTGTTTGGGCCAGAGAGAATAGCAATAAGCTTATGACAAATTTGATAATGGGCCGACGCCTAACCGTCTTTGCCTGTTAAGTTACCACCTTACTCTCCCCCATCAATGGTTTTCGTATAATAAACTCAGGCGATTTTATCCTGGTGGAGGAAAGAGTTAAAAGTAGTGAGAACAAGAAAAGGAAAGAAAATTCAAAGAGAGAAAAAAAAAATCTTCCAGCAGCAGGAAGAGGAAAGGAATTGGAAGAATGGGCGTTGATTATTACAAGATTCTTCAGGTAGACCGGAATGCAAAAGATGAAGATTTGAAGAAAGCTTATCGGAAACTGGCCATGAAGTGGCATCCGGATAAAAACCCTAAGAACAAGAAAGATGCCGAAGCCAAATTTAAACAAATCTCAGAAGCTTACGATGTAAATTTTATTTTATTTTATTTTTTTTGGTTTTTTATTTGTTATTTTTTTAATGGAAGTTTCAATTAATTGCAGGTTTTGAGTGATCCCCAAAAGCGTGCGGTTTATGATCAATATGGAGAAGAAGGGTTAAAGGGCCAGATGCCGCCTCCGGGGGCGGGCGGGTTTCCCGGAGGGGCGGACGGGGGTCCGACGATGTTCCGGTTCAATACTCGGAACCCCGACGATATTTTCTCCGAAATTTTCGGGTTTTCGAGTCCGTTTGGAGGGATGGGTGATATGGGCGGGTCACGTGCTGGGGCGTCGGGTTTCCCCAGGGGCATGTTTGGGGAAGATATTTTCGCCTCGTTCAGGGGCGGAGCTGGAGAGGGTTCTACGACTATGCCCCGAAAAGGACCCGCTATTGAACGAACATTGCCTTGCAGCTTGGAGGATTTGTATAAAGGGACTACCAAGAAGATGAAGATTTCTAGGGATGTTTCTGATGGTATCGGGTAATCTTTTATTTCTATTTTTTTTCTTTTTTAAGTTAATTTAATTGGGTAATGCTTAGTTTTTGTATTTTGATTTTAGTAATATGTGGATAAGTGATTTTCAGCTGGATTTATCTGTAGATCTAAGTTCAATTTATTAGCTTTGAACATAACTTATAATTTAATATAGAACATCAATAATTGAATCCTGAAAGGTTTTTTAGGCATAAGACAAGGAATAATTAACATTTTCAAGCAACGGATATCTTAGCTTAAGTCGCAAAAGATGTTAACAGAGGTTGCCGAGTTTGACTTTTTGCGAAAAATGGTACTTAATAGGATAATATGATTCTATCATTTAAAATGATTGGTTGTTTCCCGGGTGATGACAAAGCTGCATGACAGGTAGTTTTGAACCAAAAAGTTGTGATTGTTGAGATCTTATGAGCATTATTTTACATTGTTATTCAATTAAGTCCTTTCTCATTTGAGGTCTTAATGTTCGAGACAGATTTAGATTGATCATCATATTTCAGCAAACAAGCAACGTTATTAGAATAATAAACCAGAAATGAACCGGTCGTGTAAATGTATATTTTGGAGAATCTTCATAGCTAGGGGCATTTAACTCTGCTAGGCGAACATAATTTAAATTTTATTAGATTTTCTTATCTGGAAAGGAATCGTATGGAGATTTCTTTGCACGAAGGTATACTCTTTCTCTGTATTTGATCCTTCTTCCTTATAGAGCAAAAAGACCTTGTTTTTCATTCCTCTTTCTCTTTTTGTTTTTTGGTTTTGGTTCACTGTTTGTTTAACTTATGGTCAGCTTTTTTATTTCCTGAGTAATAGGGATACTTTTATGGTATTATATAATCTGTTTTGATTATATGATTATTTCCTATTATCCTCAACAAAGCGTCTTTTACAATTTGTTCTTTTTCCATAAAGATTAGATTGATCATGGAGATTTTTTGTCTATCTATGTGTTTGTGACCAACTTTGGGAATTTCTTGATGCTTACTCAAGATTCATTTTTTAAGTTCTCTTTTTTATATTTTGCTTTATGCCAAATTTGTAAATTTGGCTTCAGCTGATGATAACTATTGCATTTTGAAAATAATAATGGATTTGTGACGGTGTATCCCTGTCATCAATTAGCCTTGCTGCTGTGCTTCAGTTTAACCAGATTATCCACAAGCCTGTAGTTTTTAGATCAGCACACTAGTTGGAATTTCCTAGAACAGAACATTATATCAGCTTAATTTACCATGTGAATTCAACTTGTTGAGTCTGAAATTTGCATTCTACTGAATGCTTGTATGCTTAAAACTGTGAGTGCTTACAATGTTGCACTGTGTATATTTATGTAAGACTTACATAGTTAAATTATGGCAAGAGAAGTTCCTAGTTCTAGCCATATACTATAATTAGTTTTGGGAAACCTTAAAACCATGATCTTTTACAGTCAACTTTTTTATTCCTTTACAGGAGGCCTACTACAGTGGAGGAAATTCTTACTATTGAGATTAAGCCAGGGTGGAAAAAAGGTACAAAAATCACTTTTCCAGAGAAGGGAAACGAGCAACGAGGGGTTATTCCTTCTGACCTTGTCTTCATCATTGACGAGAAGCCTCACAGTGTGTTCAAGAGGGATGGCAATGATCTTGTTGTTACTCAGAAGATATCTCTAGTGGAAGCTCTTACTGGTTATACAGCACAGCTGACAACACTTGATGGACGGAATCTGACAGTCCCTATTAACAACGTCATTAGTCCAACCTATGAAGAGGTTGTTAAAGGTGAGGGAATGCCCATTCCCAAGGAACCTTCTAAGAAGGGAAATTTGAGAATTAAATTCAGCATCAAGTTCCCTACCAAGCTTACGACAGAGCAGAAAACTGGCCTGAAGCGGTTAATATCATCTCCCTAGTAAACTACGGTAGCCCTCGCTACCATCAAGCCAACTTGTGTAAGTTAGCATTTGTTTTTTTTTTTTTTTTT